TTTTTAGTAGAGACGGGGTTTCATCGTGTTGGTTGGCCAGGCTGGTCTCGAACTCCTGATCTCAGGTAATCCGCCCATCTCGGCCTCCCAAAGTGCTGGGATTATAGGCTTGAGCCACTGTGCCTGGCCTTGTTTCTTCTGTTTATAGCACGGAGAATGCTGTTCTCAGCTGAGTCTGACCCTAGTGGAGGCAGGCCCGGGCAGTTTGCTGCAACTCACCCGCAGCAGCACCTCAACTGTGAAGTTGGGGAGTGGACGCTGCCCACCACATTCCTGCTCCAGGACATCCTGGGAGGCCCGTGCCTCCCGCTGCCTGTGTGTCTGCCCCTGCCCAGTGTGTTCTCTTCTGCTTCCAGGGGCGGGAGCAGGATGTGAGCAGAATCCTCCAGGCCCTGCACCAGTGCCTTGCTGCCCTTCCCCGGCAGCAGCTCCGGAGCGTCGTGGGCATCGGGGTGTCGGGCCAGATGCATGGAGTCGTGTTTTGGAAAACAGGCCAAGGTATGCTGGGCTCGGGGATGGTCTCAGGCTGGTAGCAGTCACTTCCAGAACGAGAGCGGGGCCGCACGAGAGCGGGGCCGCACGAGAGCGGGGCCGCACGGCTTTCTGAGAAGGTTATCCTGCACTAGGAATAGGGTCTTGTTTCTTGGAACGGACGAACACGGGCTGCCTCCTGCGTGGGTGGACATTCTGTTTGTACCAATGTGAGGTGAACAAGGGGACTGCCCACTCCCACGTCATCAGCACGTTATCCACGAAGAGGGATCCACGAAGAGGGAAGAGAGCGTTTTCTTGGATTCTCTGGAAGGAGTCAGCGGAGCGCCTTTTCCACAGCGTTCTCTTTACCGTGTCGGTATCTCAGAACCTTAGTGCAGACAACCAAGAGATTGGCTGTAGCCGCGGGAGATGCCAGGACACAGAGGGCACGCTTTTGAATTGGGGCACATTTGTCGTCGTTTACATATTTGTGATTTTGAAAATTCCAGGGCATATCTTTTTTTTTTTGAGGTGGAATTTCATTCTTGTTGCCCAGGCTGGAGTGCAGTGGTGCGATCTCGGCTCACTGCAACCTCCAACTCCCGGTTTCAAGAGATTCTCCTGCCTCAGCCTCCCGAGTAGCTGGGACTACAGGCACACACCACCGCGCCCAGCTGATTTTGTATTTTTAGTAGAGATGAGGTTTCACCATGTTGGCCAGGATGGTCCTGATCCTTTGACCTCGTGATCCACCTGCCTCGGCCTCCAAAAGTGCTGGGAGAACAGGCGTGAGCCACCGCACCTGGCCATATATATATATATATATATATTTTTTAAGATGGAGTTTCACTCTTGTTGCCCAGTGATCCTCCTGCCTCAGCCTCAAGAGTAGCTGGGACTACAGGCGCCCGCCACCGCACACAGCTAATTTTTGTACTTTTAGTGGAGATGGGGTTTCACCACGTTGG